AGGATTTTAGCTAGAAACAGCTAAATACATCAGAAGTCCCCTCTCTAAACAACATGATTGCCAATATTACAAGAGTAACTGTTAAGAAGTGTACCCGTAATTATAACAGGACAATTATCAATATCATGGTGTATGCGGACGTTCACATACGCCACTCACACTCGCATAGCAAGTATCATGTGCATGGAGCATGCGTACTTTGAGCTAAATTATAAAGAAGGGCACTCTCGATATTACTAATTTTTAACTCAAATCAATAAATGAATTAACATAGCAATCAGACATTGGTAATTTATATTTACTTTCAAGGCTAAAAACAGTTCGAAATCAGAGAAATCAAATCAATCAACGAATCATTATCAATGGTATTCGGGTTTAAATCCGTCATTTTTATGAAGCATCACAAATAAATAAATTTACTGCTCTGTAATACCAATTGTAACTTTATTACAACAATCAGAACCCCTATAGAATTACAATTTAAATAAAAGAATATTGTCTTAACAAGATATACACATACAAATAAAATAAAATTGTAAATCAGCATTGTAATCACGGGTTATCATTGCAGACGCCCAGTCCTATGCAGCAGGAACCTTGTTTCATTATCTTCATGATCTAAGTCCCAAGACGGGTGATGAAACGTAATGTTAAAAACCCTAGCCCACTTCTTGAAGATGTATTTTTCAGTATGGAAACGATGACCCTCACGAAGACCGTATTCATGTAATCGAGAGAAGACGCATTCTTTTGGACCCGACGCATCAAAGTAGTGGTGAGGCATATCGTTTATAAGCGTAACACTGAAAACACACAATAACAAAAATATTATTAATAACTCTGTGAAATCACAATCCAAACACGCACAGTTATGCCAAGCCACAATAGCCACATCCCGTTATGCCAAGCCACACATAACCACACTCCGTTATGCCAAGCCACACATAACCACACTCCGTTATGCCAAGCCACACATAACCACACTCCGTTATGCCAAGCCACACATAACCACACTCCGTTATGCCAAGCCACACATAACCACACTCCGTTATGCCAAGCCACACATAACCACATCCCGTTATGCCAAGCCACACATAACCACACTCCGTTATGCCAAGCCACACATAACCACACTCCGTTATGCCAAGCCACACATAACCACATCCCGTTATGCCAAGCCACACATAACCACACTCCGTTGTGCCAAGCCACACATAACCACACTCCGTTGTGCCAAGTCACACATAACCACACTCCGTTATGCCAAGCTACACATAACCACACTCTGTTATGCCAAGCCACACATAACCACACTCCGTTATGCCAAGCCCCAATAGCCACACTCCGTTATGCCAAGCCTCGCATAACCACACTCCGTTATGCCAAGCCATACATAACCACATTCCGTTATGCCAAACCACACATAACCACACTCCGTTATGCCAAGCCACACATAACCACATCCCGTTATGCCAAGCCACACATAACCACACTCCGTTATGCCAAGCCACACATAACCACATCCCGTTATGCCAAGCCACACATAACCACACTCCGTTGCGCCAAACCACACATAACCACACTCCGTTGTGCCAAGTCACACATAACCACACTCTGTTATGCCAAGCTACACATAACCACTCTCTGTTATGCCAAGCCACACATAACCACACTCCGTTATGCCAAGCAACAATAGCCACACTCCGTTATGCCAAGCCTCGCATAACCACACTCTGTTATGCCAAGCCATACATAACCACATCCCGTTATGCCAAGCCATACATACCACATTCAGTTATGCCAAACCACACATAACCACACTCCGTTATGCCAAGTCTCAATAGCCACACTCTGTTATGCCAAGCCTCGCATAACCACACTCCGTTATGCCAAGCCACACATAACCACACTCCATTATGCCAAGCCTCAATAGCCACACTCCGTTATACCAAGCCTCGCATAACCACACTCCGTTATGCCAAGCCTCGCATAACCACACTCCGTTATGCCAAGCCATACATAACCACATCCCGTTATGCCAAGCCACACATAACCACACTACGTTATGCCAAGCCACAATAGCCACACTGCGTTATGCCAAGCCATACATAACCACATCCCGTTATGCCAAGCCACACATAACTACATCTTGTTATGTCAAGCCTCACATAACCACATCTCGTTATGCCAAGCCACACATAACCACATCCCGTTATGCCAAGTCTCACATAACCACATCCCGTTATGCCAAGCCACAATAGACACACGCCGTTATGCAAAGCCACACATAACCACA